ATTACAAGGAGAAGCTAGAGTGGTGGAAGTGAATCTTTTCAGCAGTAGGACACAAAATTTATACATCCAAAATGGATCTTGGGCTGTCCAACTCTGAGCTTGGCAGTTTGTGTGATTTTTTTTTTAATTGTTAATTATGAAATATTTTCCTTTTTCAGCTTATTTTTGTTAGCATATAATAACTACACCTGCAAGTTGCCCTTGAGGACAACTCTAGTGGGTCCTCTAGAGCCCCAGTGTGGTACTCTGGCTATACAGTGTATGGGGAATGTTGGATGTTTTGCAGTGGGATCCACAGTCTGTGATTGACAGTGGGATCACAGAACCCACTTGAGTCCACAGGAACCATGTGGGCAGAAGATGGGTTTCCTCTCTTCTCCTCATCCTGAGTTGTTCCTGTGGTCAGGTGTCCCCCTCACTGAGATGGGGACACTCAGCTGAATATTGAAGTAGCAGTCCACCTCCTTTTCCAAGTTGTAAGGAGATAGAGAGATGGTGGAGGCATGCCCATGTATGGGTCAGATAACAGAGTAAGGATTCACATCCACACCTGGGAAACTTCAGGGGAGACATAGCGGTGTGTTCCTCCATCCCATTACTCAGAAAGTTTACAGTCCCACTAGTGACTGGTAAAGTCATGGTCCTGCCTGGGCTGAACATAGAGCCCTGGTAGGAGACAGCAGGCACTGTATCCCATGGGGTTTGGCACTTTGAGATTTCTTACTATCCCAGGCATGTAGCCTGCCAGCACAACCGATTCCTGAATTACTAGCGTTAGTGTCATGGTTATGATTACATGGTTGATGTCACTGGAGTGCCCAAGAGCAACAGTGGGCCTGGAAGAGCCCTATCACTTGGGTGCCGTACAAATGGAGCAGTGTCAGATGTGAGTCTGAGAAAAGATGGAGAGCAGATGGACACATGCTGTGGGGATTAGTGCACTGGATTACGAGTTGATGCTTAAACTCTCAGATTTCTGTCGCTTAATTATTCCTCCAAAAAGAAGGTACAAAGTCATTCTCATCTTTGTAAACACCATTTTAATTCTTTTTTTAAAGACAGACTGCTATTTAGGTGCATAATACAAAGCAAATGTAGTCATTGCATTTACAACCTGTTGACCTTACACTGCCATAGTTTTCTTGGCAGTGTAGAAGGCAAAAGGAAAAAAAGCCCTTTACATTGTGGCAATTCTTTGCAGAAGGCATTAATTCCATTTGTAAATTATTCTGCTGAGAATTCATAGGCTGCGTACAAGGAACCGTAGCAAAGTCATGTTGAAAGATGAGTGATAGTTCACCACAGTGTGCTTGTTCCCTCTTCTCCATTTTTTCCCCAACTCCGGTACATAACATATTTGTTGTGCTTCTGGAGGAAGTCATGCCCTGCTGCGTTGTTTACCACCTTTAAAAACTTTCCAACAACTTGCTAGATAGTCCTTATAATAAGTGTTGCAAAATTGTGAACTCCTAACCTGAATGGGTAGGATGAGAGCTAGGGGAAAGAGTAGGTAAGAGTCATAAACGTTCCACAAAAATGTGAAATTCTGTTTTTCTAATCCTTCTGGCAGTTATTTTTTGTGGCATGCTTGTTCGTATGTTCAGTCATGTGAGTTTGTGCAGGGGATTAGTGGACCGCATGTGGAAAATCTCTGATCGTGCTGGAAAAACAGGCGCTGGTGGATTGGATTGGTCTATTGGATTTAGCATTGATAAATCTTCATCTGAGGGAGATGGGGAGAGAATCAAGGGCTCCCTTCAAAACCCAGACCACAAACAAAGTTATTAGACTCCACAGGTGGTCTACCATCCTTTGCTTCCTACTTTGTGGTGGATTTGACAGGAAGAGGAGCAGTTACCTGACCTGGTCTTAATCCGGTATATACCTTAAGAACAACTAAAGCTGCGAGATGAGTGAATAAGTCTGGAGAGTATAACCTCATCCCAACTAATTATCCAATTGTTTTTCTTGAACGTCTGTTGTTATTTGTGTGGGTAGGGAAATTCAACCTCTGAATGGAGCTGCAGAGTGTGTTTTTGCATGCAAGTGGTGTTGGTTTTTGAGAAATGTTCCCCCCCAGCTCAAGCATGGCTATTACATGTCCAGTCCAGCTGTGCAATACTGTACTGTGCATGAGAGGGACATGAAGCGATCTGTATTTATAGGACTATTGAGCCAACATTCATGGGGGGAAGAGATAGTGTCTGCAGAACCTGTCAGCATTTACGCACAACACAGTGATGTGTATGGTTGGACAGATCCATCCTCATGTAGTAGGTCAGTTATATTAATCTTTGCACTGCAACCTCCAGTGGGTCCCTTTTACTCTTCAGACCTGTTGGTGATAGCCTACACTTGACCTTCACACACCCTTGGGCTCTAGGGTTGGGTGCTTCGGTGGGTTTGGGAAGGAGGAGAAGCCCAATGCCTGTCTGCAGTACTTTACAGGCTGGTTTTGTCTGGGTAGTTTGGAGCGTACACTTACCCTGTGTGTCATTATTTGGCTGTCTAAATACCTCCAGGAGGAAAGTGGAGGGAGCAGTTCATCAAGCCAGGCTGGCTCAGTATTTCCTAAGGGGCAAGTAAATGAGTTTGTTGTCTGTGTAGCTCTGGGCCTTTGGAATGAAGCCACTCCTCACCACAGCTGAGAGCATCTGTCTGCATCATACCAGGTGTTGGGAGCTGAGGCCAGGCCATCAGCAGCATGGCCCCTAGTTCTGGTGAAGGAGGGCTGCCCCATGGTGTGATGAGGGGCTACTTTGGTGTTTGCTGCATGGTGGGGGCTGTATGACCTTCTCAGGACTGTGCTCCTCGAGGGGGTGAGCAGTGGGGCCAACCCAGTCCAGCCACATGTGCACCTCCCTGGCAGGCCCCAGGCTGAGGCCTTGCTGGCTGCAGGTGTGGAGTGGTGCCATTGAAGGTTATCCAGATCTTCTCCTTTCTCAACCTTCCCTGACTTGTCTGTGAAGCTACTGCCAGATTAGATATACACCATATTGCACTTCTGTTTTATGTAGCTCATGTGATTTTTCTCTTGGAAGTGCTCTATGGTCTGTGGGAAGCAGCAGAGAAGTTTTCCAAAGACATCCCCATGAAGAGCCTGCATGGCCATATATAAGACCTTCTTAGAGGTCTTTGCCCTCTTCCTTCTCAAGTGCCAAAGTTCCTGGCTCTGATCTGAGGGGTTTGCATATCAGAGGTCTTCTTGCCTCTGCCCTGCTGTCAGGCACCTCTTCGTCCAGAGCAAAGGATTTTTCCAGCTTTTGTTCCTGCCCAGCCGCTGTTGGCTGGGACCTGTGCTTCTGAGACTTTGGACTTTCACTCTTCTCATTTGAGCTGCTGTATTACAGCTCAGGCTCACACCTCCACTTTGAGGGACAAGATTTGAAATTAAAACTTGTTTTTTTCTGGCAATTTTTATTTCTAGGGTGGTTGTTTATGTGTTCAGTCATTGAAGCATATATGCAGGGTTAGTGAAACTCATGTGGAAAATTTCTGGTGACACTGGAAAAATGACTGCCAGTTGAGTTTAAGCACTGATAAATAAATTCTAATTTGAAGGAGATGGGTAGAAAATGAAGGCTCCTTCCAGACCACAAACAAAGTTATTAGACTCCACAGGTGGTCTACCATCCTTTGCTTCCTACTCTGTCATGGATTTGTCAGGATGAGGAGCAGTTACCTGACCTGATCTTAATCCAGTATATACTTTAAGAACAACTAAAGCTGTGAGATGAGTGAATTAAGTCTGGAGAGTATAACCTCATCCCAGCTAATTATCCAATTGTTTTTCTTGAACGTCTGTTGTTATCTGTGTGGGTAGGGAAATTCAGCCTCTGAATGGAGCTGCAGAGTGTGTATTTGCATGCAAGTAGTATTTTCATTGGCATGACTACTACTACGCATGGATGTTGTACAGTCTTGTACAACTGGGTGACATGAGTTAGCAGCATAGTTACTGCAGGCTAAGGATTACTTGTAGGACTAAAGAGCTACTCTGAAAGGGGAAGGGTTTGTTCCTGCAAGATCACCTCTACATTTACATATGTTCTTCTGGTGTACAAGTAGGTCCATAAAAGTAAGAATTTATCTGTTTTTTTGGTGTGAACTCCATTTTGAAGGTTCACTAATATTTTCACATCACGGGTGTGCTAACTCAGCAACCCCCTGCTTGGTTTGTCTTAACAGTGGAACGAGAGAACCCTGAATGTCCTCCTTTCTCCCTGTGGTCAGTTGGGAAGTGGTTGGGAATGGTGAATTAGAGCTACTAATTTTACAGAGCTTTATTTCGTGAGAACTTTTAAAACTTTGTGTTATGGTGTGTTCAGTGAAAAAGAAGCTAAATGGTCATTTAGAGCAGCTTTTGTGACTGGGAGATTGTTGCTGCAGTGAAACTAATTTTGTAGCATTGGGATGGAAGCTTAAATATTTTGCATGTTTTTTTTTTTTTTTTAATGTAAGAAATGATGAATTGGAACTTCAGGTAAAGAAATAAGCAAGTATGGAAAGCGTATACTGATGCCTTCATTAAACTGGATACTGCTAACCTAAGTGTGAGTGGAGCTTCTGAATACGTGAGAAAGCAGTTATAAAAAGATCACTGTTGAGTAAGGAGACTATAGTTCTTGGCAACACACTGAGTAAATGACAAAGAATGATTAAAAGTGCTGCCATGTAGAATCTGGCTCATATGTTCTTGAATATAATTTTTAAATAGCTTGGGTCTGTTGTCATTCAAAAGCCAAAACATTGCAGAAAGTGGTGCATCTGAAACTAGTTTCAAAAGGTGTTTTAGAGGCTGGTTTACACCTGCAGTGGTTATTTTCTCTGTGTACCAAAGGCCTTACTAACCAAAAGGTGTTTGTAGAATTGCACAGTGCCATTGCAGCTTAGTATTTTTTAAGAAATAACTCCTAAAATATTAACTGCACATATGCAACTATATGTATGATAACTTTGCTGCAGAAAAAATGGAGTGTTATAGACTGTTGTATTGACAGGCATTGTTTTGTGCTTTTTTTTTTTCCCAGGTGGTTCACTGCCCCATGAAGAGTCTTCAGTGGTTGTGAATAAAGGGGAGGAATTAAGGCTGAGGTGCAATGAGGAGGGACCCGTGACTTGGAATTTCCAGAACTCAGACCCATCGGCAAAAGCAAGGAGTTCTAATGAGAAAGAGTGGTACACCAAAAATGCAACAGTCAGAGACATAGGCAGATACATATGCAGAAGCAAAGGGAGTATTGTCACCTCTTTTTATGTTTTTGTTAAAGGTAAATATCAATGAAGGCATTATTTTTGCTTCCTCCCCACTCCCTTTCCCATTCCTAAAATAATAGGACAATAAATGTTGGAGGAGGGAATGAATTTGAAGTACAGAGGGAGAACGCAGTGTGATAGAAGAAGTCTTCTTCCCTGTCCAGTAGGAAGAAACCTCACTCTTGGCTTTGCTTGCACCAGAGCAAAGTTCTGGATGAGTACCTCTGTACATCCCCATTGTTTTGTTGTGAAGTATACCAAAGCTGTCTTTCTAGACTCTGGCCAGGTGACCTGAGTCTGTTGTATGAGTCAGTTGTACTGTGAGGAAGCAAGCAATATGTAGAAATGTCTTTTTAATTACACGCCATCCATCAGTATAGAGTCATATAAGGCTTGGTCCCAAGCTTTTGATTTAGTGAGGCAGTTAGCCTAAAGGATTTGGTTTTTTTGAGGCCGTGCTTCGGGCCTCAGCCAACAAACAGAAATGATTCCTCTGCCTCCAGCTTCTGATATACCTTGTGACTGATCAGAAACATCTCAGACAAGAAAAAAAAGTGCTTCTTCTCTGACACATTTTTTCAATCCTTTAATACTCTTCTTTTTGCAGTGTTTTCTTCAGATTTCTTCTGGTTTTGGCTCCTAATCTGTGGCTTCATCAACTGCCCTCAAACTGACAGTTTATTATGCCTGGCATTCCCTTTTACTTTCCAAGGAAAGTGGTTATTTTGCTTCTTCTTCACATGGCTCTAGTGGTCTTCCTTCGCTGTTGATGGAAAAAAGTCCTACAGCATCCACTTTCTTGGAGACAGCATTTTGTGTCCAATGGGGATGTCTCAAAGAGCCTCTTCTGAACCCTGCCAGTCCTTTGTAAATTACTGCAAGGTTGTTCTCCAAGACAGGGAGATGGCAACACAGCATTCTTTTAACAATGAATGCTCTTTTAACCACTCGTCAATTGTCCAAATAGCCATGCATGTTTCTCTGAGACTATGACTAAAAGTAATCTGACATGTATTTTACCTATATGTGGCAAACAATGTTGACTTTATCTACCATGATTGTTTTCCTGAAGGTCATGGTAATTATCTCAGAGAGCTGTGATCATAGAGAAGTTTTTGCCTGCCGTTACAAGAGTGACTCCTCCATCTCAGGACACCAGGCAGTCCTCCACCATAGCATCAGGGAAGTTGTGTGGCCTTCATGCAATACATTGTTAATTTTTTTGTGTCCCTTGTTTGAAAACTGCACAAGCTTCACTTTGACAAGTTTCTGACAGTGAAATAAGTATGTTTGTGAGGTTTGCTATCATTTTGCAATAGGTTCTGGCTTAATGACATCTTACATAACCTATAAGATGCTGCCATGTGCTCTGCTGCTTGTGGCATTGCCACAAGCACCCCATACAATTTCTACTTGTAAAGCTGAAAGTGAAGAGAGAACAGGACCAAGAACCTTGATCCTGCACAGTCCCAAGTGACACATGAAGTGATGGCGTCTGTTTATACCTCACATTCTTCTGGATCTACTAAACCTAAATTTCCTATGTTTCTGTGACCAAGAGTGACACAGTGTTGACAAACCATGGGTGCTTACCTGTTTCACCTTTCTGTTTTGGCTGAAAGGGCCTGTGTTGTGTCTATAGAAGCAGTTTATGTTCTGATCCAAGCAAGACTAGTGAAGATCAAGTTAGTTCGAACACCTACATAAGAGAGAAAAATCTTTTAATTTTGATCTCAAGTATTTTCAGATGCAAGCAATGATTAGCTCCACCATATCTTGTGTTGGAAACCTGTGGTATGCACAGAAAGCAAGTAAAACCCAAGATGTACATGGGGTGGAAATCCGTGAAAGGAGGAACATGACCATGAGCAGCTTTGTTTGTGCGTGGATTCCCTACAGGAAATCTTTTCATGTCTTTTCACTGTGATATGTCCCTTCTAGAGGGGGATTGAAGATGCAAGAGGAGAACCTCAACAATTTTGCTTGCCCCAGTTAAGGCCTTCCCCACAATTTCAGCTGTTAGCAAAACAGGTCTTTGTTTCTTTCTTCTGTTTTCAAAAAATGTTGTTCTTCTTTCTCCTGGGGAGCCGTACTTTCTGCGTAATGAAGATATCTTGGCTCTGTCCATATTGGAGAAAAAGTGGACTGAGTGGAAACCAATCAGTTAAGTCTCTGTTAGCAGGGACATTTAGATGAGCTTTTCTAATCCATCCTGTTCCAGCTCAGGAGTGACATCTAGTCATAGCATTTATCTAAGTATCTCTGTGTGCAAAAGGTCACATTTTCTGTTTGGACATGCTTTACTTTAGTTCTAGACTGATGCTTCAAAACTTGTAGTTTGTGGGGGCATCTTGGGTGGTAGTGTAAAATGAGGTTGAAGCTACACCCTCACTCTAAGCTAGAAACCGGCCAGTAACTTCTCTGTTCAGTGATGAGCAGCATTCAGCTTAGCAGATTGCTTACGTAAAATCCCATGCTTCATTTTCAGCCTGGTACTTGTTGTCCAAAATCTTAAAACCAAATTCTCTTAGTCTTCCTTGTTAAGTCATGGTTTGTTGATCTCTAATCATTCAAGTTGTAAGCATGTTTGCAAAAAAGAAAGAAAACTTTTCCCTCTGTTTTTGTGTTTCTAATTCATTCTACTCTGCAGGGAGGGCAGATGGAATCTGAAATAAGCTTTTACAGAGGGTTTGTCATCACACATTCTTTTATTTTTGTGTTTGCCAGGTTCTTTGCATTTCAAGGTCATGACCTATCACGGGCTCCAACTTTGGTTGTAAAAGTTTTTAAAGTACTGTATGTTTGTGTGCTGTGGTTGGCTAAGATGAAATGCTTTAGAAAAGTTACCTTGTGAAAGATTGCATGATGATTTTTCAATCAGATATGCTGTTTGTATGTCCAATTTTTCTTCTAAGGAGGCTAAAAATAATCCCTGCTTTCAAGGAGGGGAGAGAAAGAGAGAAGTTGTTTGATGCTTCCTCTGGTAGCAGTGTGTGTTCATTTAGATTATGTATTTTACAGAAGTGAAAACCATAATCTAGGTGCTTTTCAACTTCCATTTGCTCATAAATTTCTTCCAAATCCTCCTGTGGGCATGAAACCTTACAGCCCTGCCACTAGCTAAAAGCAAATTACTTTTAATGGTCTGTGAAAATCTGTTTACTGTTGTGGGGATATTTTGGAGGTAAACAAGGCAAAAAACCCCTCCATCTCCAAATATAAAAGCAGTAAGATTATTTTTAGTGCACATGATTCTTTAGTGTGTCTAGTATTGAATGCTACTGCATATCTCCTCTCATGCTGCTCTTTTAAGACTAAATTTAATGTCTCTTGGTAAACGTGAATTGGGCAATACTCAGTTTTACTGTCTGAAAGTAAAACTTTCTTTGATATAAGTGCCCAACTGCAGAGTTCTAGGGTCATCAGAAGTTCCCTGTGCAATGCCAGCTTCTCTGACAGATCTTTGTGTTTCTCCACAGATCCAAATGTGCTCTTCCTCGTTGATTCTCTGATCTACGGAAAAGAAGACAGTGACATCCTGCTAGTGTGCCCGCTAACAGATCCAAATATTACGGATTTCACACTGAAAAAGTGTGACAGCAAACGTCTCCCAAAAAACATGACATTCATTCCCAATCCCCAGAAAGGCATCATTATAAAGAACGTCCAGAGGTCATTTAAAGGCTGCTACCAGTGCTTGGCCAAGCACAATGGAGTTGAGAAGATATCAGAGAACATTTACCTGAATGTGAGACCAGGTAACGTGGGATTTTTGCCTTTGTATACAGCACCTGGTTTTACTCTTCACCTTCCAGAAGCTGATGGAAGGGGCTGTGAAACCTCACCACTGTTCAAAGGAAAGTGATGAGCTTAGAAAGCTTGTTCTGGGCAAATTGTGTTGGGGCACAGATTGATCTCGTGACACTTAGCTTGTAGATGTGCTGAGAAGGTTTGGCCATGATCAGTTTTGTTTTCTGTTCCTGGTGATTTCCAGGAGGTTTTTTCATCATTATGAGAAATGTGGGTTGTGCTGTTGAACTCTGAGGACAAAACTGTGCCTTGAGGTTTGGACAGGTTTGTGCAAGCAAGATGGAGATTTCAGTGCCTGACTCACATGTCTGTCGCCCACAAGTGACAGCAGGAGGAACTGATTGATGGCATTGAAGAAGAGGGATTTGGTGGTGAAGCAGAACTTGGGGAAGGAGAAGGTCCTTGTTTCCATATCTGGGAGTGAAGATGATCAGAACAGCATTTGTGTGTTTAGATCGTGATGAGGAATGTGTTGTGGCTGAGCTGCTACATGCACCAGTGAGCTTGGCAAACCTGTTGGTGATAGCCTACACTTGACCTTCACACACTCTTGTGCCCTAGGGTTGGGTGCTTCGGTGGGTTTGGGAAGGAGGAGAAGCCCAATGCCTGTCTGCAGTACTTTACAGGCTGGTTTTGTCTGGGTAGTTTGGAGTGTACACTTACCCTGTGTACACTTACCCTGTGTGTCATTATTTGGCTGTCTAAATACCTCCAGGAGGAAAGTGGAGGGAGCAGTTCATCAAGCCAGGCTGGCTTGGTATTTCCTAAGGGGCAAGTAAATGAGTTTGTTGTCTGTGTAGCTCTGGGCCCTTGGAATGAAGCCACTCCTCACCACAGCTGAGAGCGTGTCTCTGCTCAGGCATGTGTGTGATGTGGGGGCTGCAGTGGGGTCTGGGGAGAGGGCATCCCCTGTCTGGGCACACTCATAGGCTGTGCACTAGGAGATTGCCTTGGCTGCAAGGGCATTTCTGCTCAGGTATCTGGTTGGGTTTTTGTTACTGAAAGGAGAGCAGCACATGGGGGCTATGCTGGTTGGCTTTGTGCTTCCTATAGCATCCATCTGTCAGCGCTGCTATCCCAGTGGTGCTGCCAAGGCTGCTGCCAAAGGAGGGCTGGGCCAGCGAGCTGGTGTGTGTCTCCCTTGTTGCCTGCACTGTGCCATGTGTTGGGAGCTGAGGCCAGGCCATCAGCAGCATGGAGTTCTGGAGAAAGAGGGCTGCCCCATGGTGTAATGAGGGCACATGTTGTTGTTTGCTTCATGGCGGGGGCTCTGTGACCTGCCCAGTGACATGCTCCTTGGTGGTGGGGCAAGGACTTGAGCAGTGGGGACTTTCTTAAGTGTGGAGTTTGGTGTGGCAAATTTAAAAAGTCTTTTTTTCTTGGTGATTTGGAAATTCTGATGTAGTGAATTTTAAGGAGTTATAAAATTTCAATTAATGAGAAGATAACAAAAGTTGAGTCAGTGCAGGCATCTCTGGCATTTGCCTTCGACAAACAAAAATCAAGTCCATTCTTGCTGTCTCTATTGTTTGTTCTGTAACAAGTGCTTTTTTCATCTGTTTCTTCAGTAGTGTCCAAAGAAAGAAACCAGCTATTTGACATAACTGATGTTTCTCTGACAAAGGAGGGTGCAAGTTGTAGTATTGGACTTTTTCATTTTTTAATGGATAAAAGCTTGTACTTGCTCAATACAGTGGTGACTTCAGATGGAAGAGTGCTGAGCTGGCACCATTGCCAGCAGCCCATTGATGGTGGGCAGCCGTAGGTGGCTGGGGGCACCTCGGCATTCTGCCCACGTTTTCTGTCAGGGGGGAAGCCTGCAGTAAGTGGAAACATCTGCTGAAATCCATCAACAGCATTATCACTCTCAGTCTTGTAATTACCGTGTGGTAGTGTTCAGTCCTTATTGAGTTAAAAGGTAAAAAAGGTAAAACTCCCAGTTTCTCCTTCTCTCAACATTTAAATGCATTGGAGACCCTTTGTTGGGTAATGTTTTTGTAGCTACAACCGTGGCACTCAGACCTCCAGATCTGAGTTTCTGGTGCAGAAAGACAGGCATCCATGAAACAGGGAGCTGTGCAGGTGCACTCAGACTTACACCAACTACAACAGCACAGGTAGAGTTTATGTCCAGCCCACCTCAAAACAATGAGGGGCTTTATGGACTTAGGGCTTGTTTTTTTGGATGTCCATAGATATTTCTGACAGATGAGAACACAGAATGTCTTCTGCACCAGCTTCCTCCTGTCTCTTGGGTACTGCTGAATGCTGGTGTGCATTTTTGTGTGAGCCTTTATATCTGAAGAGAGCAACATGTTTCTTCTCTTCTGTAACCACTTACAGCAACATGAGGAAAACATTATTATTAAAGTACTAATACCTGAAAAGCCTGGTGTTTTCCTAAGTTTCGTACAATTTACCTAAGACAACTACAAAACCTGTGTCAGAGGCAGGAAAAGAGTCTGGATGACCTTATCTGATATATGTTACATTCACAGTTTGAAAGTGAGTCATCCTGTGTAAAAGCCCTAGTGGGAAGTTCACTGGAGTCTAATAAAAGAAAATTTGAAGAAAGGATGAAGAAAACAGAAAAACAAAGCATGAAGGGAACAGGGGAAGAGCTGAAGAGCTTTGTGGAAACAAGAAACACACAGTCCTCAGATATACTTCACTGTTGACAAAAGACACCCAGTAGCAGAACAGGGGTACAGCTAGACCACAGCTACTTGTAACCACCTACTCCTTGGGTGGCAAACTCTGAACCATCACCATAAGCAGAGGTTGTAGTGCTTTCAGAGGCAGGTGTGCAGAAGTCCTTGAGCTTTTCCTGTTCTTCCTAGGCTTTCCATCAGGAGCTTTTCAGGGACCTGTCAGACAGTACTTTCTGTCAGCTGTAATGTTTTGTAATTAAAATTTGCAGTTAGTGCTAGGCCACTGTTCTTGAGTGACTGATCCTTACCATGTTTTCGGTTCCGTAGTGCTACCTTTTAATCACTGTCATGGAGTGAATCATCTCATTGATGGTTCAGTATCGTTCAAGTTTCTTCATGCAAGTTACTATGCTCTAACAAATCCTATCTAACTTTTAAGTGTAGTTTGAAGGGAGGTTGAAGCAGAAATATGCTTGTTGTAAAGGAACAATTGTGTAATATGTTAGAAAAATTTGAATACATATCAGAGCCTTGATTTTATTGGAAAGTTAATGACTGTTGATTTTTATCCCCCCTTGGAAGCACTGGAACTAATGAAAAATAATATGCTTCTAAATTGTTTTCCAGTTCACAAAACTCTTCCTGTCATCACCTTATCAAAAAGCTATGAGCTTCTCAAAGAAGGGGAAGAATTTGAAGTTACATGCATAATCACGGATGTGGATAGCAGCGTACAAGCTAGTTGGATTTCTCACAAAAGTGGGGTAAGTTCCTTTAATTCTATCATGTATACTTCAGCACAGTTCACAGACCCTCTGCAGACATTCACATTTGTCTTGGCTACTTGATGCTGTGTCAGTTTGGATTTGTTGCATTTACAAAGATCCAGCATCCCACAGACTGATGAGGGAGCAACAACAGTCCTGTGCCCATGAGGACAGCTGGGAGGAAAAGCATCTGCACAGGCTTCTCTTCCCAAAGAGAAATTAAAATTAGGCTCTTCAATGTGAATTTTAGGTGACCTCTATTGGGCCTCCTAAATATGGAAGCATGGAGTGCCTACACATCACATTGCAATCAATGGGAGCTGCAAATATCAGCACATGGACTGCAAATTACGTATTCTAGTTGTTATCATTAACAGTAAAATACCTGCTAATTAGCATGGGGTTGTGTGTGACAGGAATAGTAGTAAGCATTCACAGGAATGATTAATTCATTTGAATTACATGGTGTGCCTCACTAACTGGAAAAGTTCTGAAAAATGAACCAGTGAATGGGCTTCTGTCTGCCAGAGATAGATGAGGTTACTGACTGTCATCACCAGATTAAATTATTGACAGTCTAGGTGCTCCAGGAGAGTTAGTTACCAGCAGCACAACAATTCTGCAGAAGAGGAGCAGAGAGATCCCCTTCTGGGGTAAGCCAGCATGCTGCCAGCTCTGTCTTTGAAATGAGCAGCAGGCACTGGGGTGTTTTTGAGAATGCTTCTAGGTCTTCTGGGTATACCCTGAAATTTAAATAAATTAAAAACCCTTGTGAAGACCTTTCAGTAACTCCCACCAGCTAATTGGCTGGTCGTTTACTGCTAATGGTAGTGAGCAGAATACGTAATTCTCAGTCCATGTGTATGGAAGAAAAGACTTATGTGATATTTGGATAAATCCCATTGCCTTGGGCACATAATGAACAGGAGTCCCATTCCCAAGGGCTGGGAATGCCATGCTTAGCTAATCCACCAGCTTTGGCAAAGCTGTTCTTGCTAAGTGCTCTCTGCTCCAGAAATCCCAGCTCACAGCTCTGAAGGTTGAGAAGCTCTAAGTGACATGAAGTCGGCATGGGACATGCAGATCCATTTTTGGTCCTGTGCCAAGGTCAGCTGCAAGCCTTTCATCTGAGAACTTAATTTCTTCTCTCATTCCCTTCCCTTTGCTTTGTTATATGTGATGAAATTGAGGCCTTCCCTTCAGTTTTTGTGCTTTATCATTTTTCGCTTTATGAGTAAAAGCTACAAGGAAAGTATTTTTGACCAAATAAGTTTGACCTTTCTGCCTTTTCTAGTAAATAGCAGGAGATGCTGTCTTTTAAATACTGACTATCAAATTAATTTTGTATTGAGAGAGTACACATAAATTTCATATTTAAGTAGATTCAGAATTACATTTTGTCCTGAATAGATGAGAGGAAAAAAAAACGCTTCTTCTGTGTATGACTGAAGTTATTGCCACTTTTGAAAATTAGTAGAATTGTTATAAACAAGCACATCCATACTACATAAACGTCTCTTGTGATTATTATAGCTCAGGAGGAATCAAAATTGCATTGAGAAACTTTAATTTGTCTAGAAGCTCTTGGAGGCTCCAAGAATTGAAATAATTCAATTGGAAAATCATAACAAGTCCAGGTCTGCATTTGGATTAATCAGTGTAAATTTTATCAGTCTTTCCAACCATACCAAACATTCTCACAGAAACTAAAGTCAACACATCAAAGTATTAATTTTTTCTATGCGTATTCATAGGGTCATGTTATACTTAAGAGAATGAAGTTTCCAATTGCATTTAAGAGTAGTAAGTATATATTGCTAAGGACCAAGTGTCAGAGTGGGTACCAGAGGAAGGATGCTGTGTAAAGCTTGCTGCCAGCAGGGCTCTGCAGCATGCCTGCAATCAGAAGATGCTGTGGCCTTGGGACATAGGACAACACAGTTTAAAATGAAGCCCCAGGACCTTAAATTCTCTTATGTAATTCACAGAATTACATAATCATTTTAACTATTTGAGCAGTCAGTGAACTTCAGGCACCACTTAAGTGGTGAACCACACTTCAGAGTTGCAATAACTTCATATAAGAACTGCACTTTCTGAGCATTAGAAAAATCAGCACCCAGTGGTCACGTTGCATTAAGTCCTACAGCTAGAAGCACTGGTAGTGTAAATAAAACCTTCTGTTGGTTCCTCGCCTTCATCAATATTGGAAATGTATCCAGAATAAGCTGGGCCTGACCTTGGGCACAACACCCTTGTCATCACGCAATGGAAACATTTGAAGAAGTTAGAGTTTTAGTTTCTTGGCTTGGGCTGGTCTCCCCCCCTTTGGCTTTCTTGAGGCAGGTGAGCACAGCCCCACACTCACCCCACCCCACGTTCTGGCCTTACAGGGGAGCTTGAGGAGAAAAAAAAAAAGAACAATAAGAGGAGGGGATAGGACTTAGGAGAGAGAACATTATCTCCCAAAGGCAGCTGATCACACACTTGTTTTGCACGGAGAGATTCTAGTGACAGGTTTGTCATGCTGGCTTATTATTCCAGTTTAAAGTTATGAATATTAATATAGCAAAGTTATAATTACTTCTATTTTTAATTTATCTAGGAAAGATGATGCATACACAGTGTTTTAGTTGTTAATTGTTTTTTACCGACAGATTGTTACAAGCAAAAGCAGAAATTTGGGTGATTATGGATACGAAAGGAAATTAACATTGAACATCCGTTCAGTGGGAGTTAATGATTCTGGAGAATTCATATGCCAAGCAGAAAACCCTTTCGGAAAAACCAATGCCACAGTAACCTTGAAAGCACTAGGTAAATGCTTCTTGTAGAAATCTTAACATTTCTAAGAGCAGGAGATGAAGAGTGGGAACAATAGGGAGTCTTCCCTCCCTTCTTTCTCCTTTTCCCCAAACCTCAGTGAGTAAAGTTGCTTTTCTTAAAAGGTTATTGCTGACTGGTACCATATGGGATGGCTCAGGAAGTGTTGTGGTGTGTATGACTACTTTGATTTCTGTAACCCTTTGCATGTTATTGGAAAGTGATGTTAGAACAACCACCCAACAGTGTTTCCATCTCTCTGGTTTGTCTCATCCTTCCTGGTTTAATTTAAAATTTAATCCAGTTTTGACAAAACAAGTGATTTACTTTTGCCTAGTGCTGTCCCTGTGCCTGAGTAATTTGGCAGCACAAGCACAAGACACGTCTTTAATACCTGCCTTCCAAGGATGGGAAATTTCACTGACAGTGTGTCAATGTTTTTACGTAAAAGCTATATTTGTACCTCTGTTTAAAATGATGCTTTGAGGAACATCGTGATGTGCACAGACGGCATGAAATTGTTCCAGAGGTCACCCCCCTATTAAACCCACTATCCATCACATCTACATGTTTTGGATCATGACCTTAAACAGTGAGAAAACTCCCTTCCTCCTCTTGTTTAATAACAGGTGCATTTGGAGTCTGCTATATATTAACTTGGATGACACACAGTGCCTTTTGAATTTTAAAGCTGCTCATTTGATAAATTAAGTACAATTAAGGACATCTTGGTATGTTAATGGTATCATTCTGGTCTGTGTAATTGGCTACAACTGTTTCAGTTCCGTACCATTCAAAGGTGTAGTAACTGAGGGAAGTGTAGCCTTGGATCCTGTTTTTCTTTCAAATCCGTTTTTCTGTTTCACAGACACACACTCCTGCAACAATGCTTGTTTTGCTTTCCCTGGTAACATAAAGAAAACAGAAGTGTTTGACTTATGTGGGTCAGATCTTCAGCAAAGCCACAGAGGTTTTAAGTGCCCTTTACCTTGCTCTGCCGTTGGAGGGGGTAGGGCTCAGAACTACAGGGATGTTTTCCTCATTTTTTTACAGAAGAGACTACATTCATATGTAAAAGAGTGAAACAGTGTGAAGTATGAAAGAAAATCTTTTCCCCAAGGGAATCAATGTGAAAGCTTCTATTATAAGAAGAGGGAAGTTCTTGACTGCAGAAATTCTTAGTACTACTACGTATGCAAATGTGGCTTTAAAAAGGATTGACTTTGGAAAGTCTGGGGTTTAAAATAAAGGATGGTATTATAAAAAGTAGAAAAGAAAGTAGCAAGTTTTTATTTAGTAACTTTGTATTTAATAACAAAATGCCAGAGAAAAGGTGGAATCTTTTCTTTTTGAGATACTTTTCTCCCCCCACACTCTCAAATTTGACTTAAAATTTTTAAGCTCCAACTTCTGGATACCTTTCACCATTCATTCAGACTGATTATATTTACCTGAGCTGTGAAGCTCCCAGGGTCCTGGGAAGTGGTATATGGTGTGTACTGGAGAGATCCTGGGATTGCATCAAATCCTAAATCACTGTGGCTTTAACATTAGCCAAAAGATTTACAAGAAATAATGTGTATTTTTTGGTAAATTTCCTAATTACTTTTTCTAGCAGTTAATTTATCTAACTGTAGACAGTTACTAGAACTGCATTCCAGGGACCAATAGCATCATAATAAAGTTTTATGTGAAAGCTCTTGTGTCTGATTTTGAATGTAGGTTGCATAGAGGATCCTGTGTTTATACAGATAACAGAAAAAAGCTCTGCAAAGGAACTACAAATCTTCAGTTTCCAGATTTGAAACATTTTTCTCTTTTCTAGTGAAGGAGACATTTTAGAGCATACCTGCCTACTGTGAATTTACTTCATCCTTTCTTCTCCAAAGCACCTGTCAAGTGCTCTGGCAGCTCCATATGCTTTCACCAAGCCCCACTGGCTCTGCTTTTCCTGAGCTCGGGTGCCCAGCTGGCCCCAGCATTTTGATTACTAAAGAGTGGGAAGAAGCAGGGATCTGAGATTGATTTTAGGTCTAAATTCAAGCTCTCAGTAAATGTGTTTCCTTTTAATTGCAATCTGCCCATCAAACTGATAATTCCCTTATGAATTTGTGTAATAGGACGGAAAAATTTGTCTTTTCAAAGTAAATCCTGAAGCTGATGACTTTATTAATGAAATTAAAACTGCTACAGCAAGGATGTTGTTAGACATGATATTTTGGAACGGAACTGCACAATGGTACATGGTATCTGCCAAATAAAAGATTAAGACCCAGCAGCAGATGTACAGAAATGCCTTAGTTTAAGACGATTGGTATCCAGGCCTATGGACTTAGCACATTTTTCTCTAATTACAGCTTTGAATAGCTTCATTTGTAATGTTGTTCTTAATTACACTTGACAAAGAACATTAAAAACTTTAGTATATTGTCATAAATGATTTTATCTTGCTTTTTTCTTAGTTCTTTTTTACCAGACAGTTAGCAACTCTGATTTTTGGAAAAATATAAATACTTGAGTAGAATCAAACATGTCCTGGCATTTTTCCAAAAGCAAATAGAGGATATTTGTCAGCAGAAGATGGAATTATGGATGTTAAGGCACTAAGGCTGCTTTAAGTCCTGTGTCTCACTGCTACATATATAGCTATTGGCCTTGGTTTTGGCAGGTGAGGGTTCAAGTTCTGCTTTGCAGATAAGGTTTTCTGTTACACAGTTGGATATTTGATCACTGATCTTGAAGTACTCTAAGCATGGTTAGAGTATTGTCAATCTTCTAAATGGCCTTGAAATTGTTTTTCTTCTCCTCTTATGACCATCAGCTAAAGGATTTGTCCGTTTGTTTGCAACAATGAATACCACAGTAGATATAAATGCAGGACAAAATGGAAACTTAACAGTTGAATATGACGCATATCCAAAACCGAAGGAAGAAGTCTGGATGTTCATGAATGAAACATTACAGAATTCCTCAGACCATAATGTCAAGTTCAGGAGCGTGGGTAATAACAGGTAATACGCATGACTGTAAGTGCTATTGATTTCACTTTGGAACAGCAAACTAGAGTCTGTTCTGGAAAGAGGAAAGTGGAGATGGTGAGAAAATTGTTACTATAGAAGATCTTTTAGTACATGTGGCTTGCCACAGTAACTGGTGCAAAGACTGCTAACCTCGATGTGGAATAGCACGGAGCTAACCACACCATCTGAGGACCAACATGCTGTATGCTCACGACTCACCTACATTCCTGTCCAATGAGCAACAGTGAGAATTTAGAGTTGTTTGTGTGCAGAAACTCCCTCTGCTGCTTCAGCAGACCCAAGTGCTCTAGATAAAAGCTTATACTTTTATTTCTACTGTGCACTGTTCTTCCCTGATCCCTGGTCCTCCAAAAATCCAGTGAAGCACCTAGCACATGTGGTCTAGATTGTAAATATGGTTCCCTCCTCAGTGAGAAGAGGAATAGGTGGTGGTGCCTGCATGAGGTCTGAGGTGCTGAGCTATCACCAGGCACACATCTGGATGTTGGAAGTCACAAAACTTGTGGGTATTAGAAGTGCAAGGGCTGTTGTAATGCATGATGAGAGTGTTTGCATGGACTGTGTCTGCAGAAAATGACACGCTATTAATTCCCTCCTCAGCTTCCGTGCAGCAAGCTGTGTGCCTTAGTAATGCTTAATTTTTTTCTTTACAGTTATACAAGTGAACTTCACCTTACACGATTAAAAGGAACAGAAGGAGGCATTTACACATTTTTTGTGTCCAATTCTGATGCCAGCTCCTCTGTAACATTTAATGTCTATGTGAAAAGTAAGTAAAATGAACAGTCTGAAATATTTCATTATCACAATCATTGTATTTTATACAGCATAATATATGCACAAGATGTCACAGCGTGGTTCAGCATATGAGAGGCTTTCTGAAGTGAAGCACATGCTGGAAAACTAAATGTCAAGATATAAAAGTGCAGAGTATTTACACAAATCCGTGTAGTATCCAGCGTGACCTTACATTCTAGCAAACATATTCCAGAGATTACCAGAGAGCAGCTAGGTAGTTTATACAGAAAAAAAAACAGCTGTAGCACCTGGAAACATGATCTCAAAAATAAGTATGTAACATAAACCTTTTATAATTTGAGGTGGAGCAGGATATACAGGCATTATAATTTGCGTTTTTGTCAACCAAGTAAAGATATTAATTGTTCTTAATTTGTTTGACTTGAATTTGAATGCTTGTCAGGGGAATTACTAACATTTAAATGCCTTTTGGCATCTAAATACTTCTGTATAATAATATAAATTACCATTGCTTTAGAGAAATCTGCATAGCTTTACAAATATGTGTGCTGTCATCTTTGGGATGTGCTTATTAAGAAAGAGCATTGGCTTCAGTTCCAAATAGCATTCTTCAAGACAAAAGCTAAACTTCAAAAGTAAATCAAGGAAACCTTCAGAAAACCCTGTCCTTAGCAGAAGCATCCACTTAGAGCATTTCATGCTCTCAGCAAACAGATATTGGCAGCTGCTAAAGGCTAGGCTTAAGGAAAATTAAACCAAGAGGGGACTGCAGGCAAACTGGAGAAACTAGGGCGAGGTAGGCAATGATGCCTTTGAGCCCAGCAGGAGGAACTGTATAGAAAGTAAATGAATGTGCTGTAAATGCAGTTTTGTGTTGCTGCTATGCTTTAGCAGCAGTGTGTCCTTTTCCAGGCATAGCTTTATGAAGAGGACTATCAAGACTTCCACAAATGCATCAAGTCCTATATATTAATTTCCGAATTCTTCTCATTTGTCACTGAAGATCAACATTTGTAGCATCTCTATGCAGTGACATAGTTCGGGTCAGAAATGTCACTTGAGCTCCTTTCAGAACATGGCATTTCTTCTTTCATTTCTGAATGTTGTCATTTCTATTGTACCTTTTCTGTTTCCTAGCTGTGATTTCTGAGATGAGGGCACTGGTGACCTCAGATGTCTTTTGTCTCAGTGCATGAGTGTGGGTTACAGTCATAAGGGATAATTCTAGTATTTAACAGATTAATGGAGCAAATTGTTGAGCCAGAAGTTTAATTTCTGTGAAGGAATGGGAGAAATTCCAGATTACCTGTGGAACTGTTAGTTCACATGAAGTTGGATAGTGTTTTCCAACTCACAATGTCATACATGTACTTGGAGCGAGAGGCTGTTCATGGTTCTCCCAGCTCTCCCAGGCTCTGCAGGCTGCTTGGACATAGTCTGGGCACAAGAACTCAAAAAACCTAGCCAAAAATAACCTAAAAAATCCAGTTTTGTCATCATCAGGTGTCAGTTCTCAATGCAGATCTCCATGTTGCTGCTTTTGAGGTATGCGCTACTTGATAAAAGCTGAAAATCCCTGTAAATCATGGTTAGAAAACCAGACTAGGAAGAAGATGGTGAAGCAAGATGGACAAGGCAAGAGGGAGCATAGACAGTTTAGTTCTTCTGAATGGCTTGTCTGTACAACCAGCAAGTCTGTTTCCTTCTTGCTTCAACTACTGGTCTTGTAAGTAGGAAGATCAGTCTTGGGATGCCCTGAGGACATTTAAGCAGTCCCATGGAGCACGTTACCATGTGCTGTGGCCCTGGGCGGACTGCAGCCATTGCTGAAGTAGATGGATTTGAGGCACTTGACTAAAAAAGAGTTTCTTTTGGCATTTTGACTAAGCTTCTGCAAACATTTTTTTCATCTTGAAAAGAAGAGATAAATAGATTGGTCTTTCTAGGGTTTTTTTTTTAACAAAAATAACCTGTTTTCACTGGCTTGTAAAATGCTCATCATTTAGGTATGAGAGACAAACTACATGACAACATACTCTATCATTTGACATAGCAGAGTAATTGCCAAAGGTAAGTTACATGTGGGTTGGTTGTATCCTGATCTTATGGTGCATCCTGACCTGGCATCGTTGTCAGGGATTTTGCATAAATTGCTTGGATGTAGATCGTGATGTTTACACGTCTGGCTTGGGCAAGTAATCAGCAGAAAGTAATCAAACAGGTAAAACAGGATACATAATCAGCAGAGAATGTCTTCGCATAAACAAAAGTTGATGCCAAAGCATTTGCTGAAAGACATGAAAAACCCAGTGCAGAAATACTTTGCTTGGATTTAAACATATTTAGCAATTGCATATGCTAGTCTGAAATAATACTAAATTGCTTTAAGAAATAGTATAGTAATTCATAGTAAATGTGACATAAAGTACGTAAGGAAGGAGCTCTGAAATTAGGAATCAAAAAGAAAATTACAGCTTGATATGCAGCATACTGTACTCAGTTACAATTAAGATATTGTAGAAATCTCCAGAGTGGCAAGGTATGGTGCATCTAGCAATTAGCGGAGGAACCTTCCAAGTAGTAACTGAGTTTAGTGCAAAATAATATCTGAGCTTAATTATAGTCAACAAAATATTATCTACGCAGTTGGGGCTCATGCTGCAAAGAGAAAACTGGTCATGCTATTATAGATCACACAAAGCCAAGTTCAGCTGTTTTCCTCTTGTTGAACTAAGCAGTGAAAAAATGAGGAGTCACCATGATATTGTAAAAAGATTTGTTCCAATCCAGAAATTGTAGATCCAGAAGAAAAGCACTCTCTCTTTGTGTGGGCTGACTGACAATACCTATTAAGTGTTGCTTTTTAGACATTCACTTTGTTAAGAATGAAGAAAGGGAAATTGACAATAAAAAGAAATTAAATGCAAAATTCATGATACAGTACATTGAATTAAAATACCAGTGACCTCTTATAAATTATCTTTGTTACATTTAGGGTCATTTAATCAATAGAATCAATAAAAGCTGAAAAGCAACTAATAAACTTAGTAAAATTAGAAGTTTAAGACTTTTAATGACCAATTACAGAAGCAATATGCATATATGCTGAGTGATGTAATGGAGGGTTAAGTATTTAAAGGGTTAAAGCCAAAACAATAAGCAAAGTCTAGTCATTAAGAGTCTGTCTGACAGCAGGGGTAATAAGGCAGTGAAAGTCATAAAATCTAGCACAGTAAAATCCCTTTTAAAAAGAAGATGCTTGGTGACAGCTTGGCATCTGTTTGCAAAAGCTAGTCGATCTTTGCTCCAGCATCCCCTGGAGCACCTACATTGGTGGTTGAGGAAGATGCTCTGGCTGCCAGAACGAGGTGCAGGTGCTGAGACACATATGTGGCCTGAGCCGGCAAAGGCACAGCCTGGAGGACAGCAGTAGCAGCCGTCTCAGTCCTCTTGGGTACTGGATTAGGGGGCTCTTTGCTGCCTCAAGTGAAATGCATCCCTTAATTTCTTTGAGCCAGGGAAGCTTGGGAGCCCTCAGTGCTGGTGGAGAGAGGCTGATCATGCTAATTGCCACATCAAAGTGCTTCACCAGGTGCATGACAGGTAGAACTGCTCTTAGGTCAGCTGTTCTCAGAGGCTGCTGCAGCTCAGCTTCCCATACCACCAAGGCTGGACCACTCTGCCTGGGCTTTTGGAGGCATTAACTCTGCACAGCCTCTTGTTTCCCTCCATTGCTGCAGGATAAGTCCACATGAGATTGTGGCCATGTGGACAGGCTTTTATTGCACTAGGTTTTTACAGTGGAAAGAGCCTGACTAATACGGGCATTTTTGTTTCCCTCACTCAAAGTCAGAAGATGTTAGATGCAGACCAACTCTCGCACAATATTTTTACCAGGGCTTAATGCTCACACTCCTCTTATATTTGACTTGTCATGTCTCTCATTTCTTGAGTTATGTTGTGCTATAATGTTGCCTAAAACATAGCATATGCGTAAGCAAATAGCACATGGGTAATAGTTTAGCTAATTACAATTTCACAATCCAGCCATTTTGATTGGAGTTTCAGAAATGTGAATTACATGTATTCTGTGAGCACTGAGGCTGGATGAGATGCTGTGTGCTCTCAGAAAATTTCTCACCAAATGAATAATGCTGAAAATCAATCTCAACATTTTACGACAATGTTTTGTTCTTGGTGGTTTGCATAAAACACATGTGGATCTAGAAATGAAAGAACATTTGGTTCCTGTAACAAGTCACAAGGAGATGGTATGTGATTGAGAATATACGTGTGTTTTATTGCTTTTAATTTAATCAGTGAGTAGAATATTCATTAAAAATGAACACCATACAGTCTTTGTACATAGATTTTTCCTGAAATAAATCTGTGTTTTCCCACTGCAGTCTATAGAGTTTCACTACTTTATAGAATTAGAAGTTCATCTTACATTTCTATAAAGCTGTATTAGCTGATAATGGACTCTTAACTTGTACCTATCAGGTTAGCAGCATCATTGCTTATAGTTTTTTTCATTAGCTTCTGTTTGGGTGATTTTGCAAGGAAGCTAAGGTAGTTATGGGAAATAAAACCTCTAATTCAAGTTTCACCAGGAAAAACATCTTGCTCTATTGATGGTGCCCTTGGCTGAAGCCTGTGACATTGGATTAATGACTCTGAAGTCCACCTGACTGCTCTGGTTTCCTCCTGTACTTGAAACAGCAGCTCCTGAACCAACTGCAGGAATAAGTCCTGTTCAGGATGTGGCAGAAGGCATCGGCTGAATGGATTGCTTTCTAAACTGCCAGAGCAATCACAAATTCTCATTTAGAAAGCTGATACATTCTGCCAAATATTAGTTTCCTCTACATGCAGTGTTTCAGAGAATCAGGCAGTTGGGCATTTCATTAGCAATATCTTAGAGGATGTCTGTCCTCTGTGGGATGGGGTCTGCACTGGTTGCCATGCTCTGTAGTTCCTTTTCTGGCTGCGGTGGTAATATTTAATACACAGGGCAGATGTAAGAGGGATGTGGTTTGACAGATTTAGTACAATTATAACGGTGGAGAAACTGTCCTTTTTTACAGGCGGGTAAAGTCATGCTGTGCAGAAACGGGAACTGCACTGTTGTTCCAAGCACACAATTCTTTGGGTTGTTTAATCTCTGAGCTTTGCTGGTTTAGGATCTTTCATCAAACCAAATACTCAGGGGAGATAAAGTATTCTTCTGACATCCAGCCAAAACATTCAGTGTAAGAGCTAATATTTTCACAAATGTTCAGCTTTTGTAGGACACTGGTTCAGGCCTGGACATCCTTGAGCATGAGGAGCTCTTACTCACCTGGGCGATTCCATGGATGATGATGCACACAGGCTGCTGGGGTGAAGAGCAAATGGTAGTGCAAATTCTGTGTTCTCCTAATGGATGACTCTTGTTTTTGTTTATTGCAGCAAAACCAGAAATTCTCACTCTGGATATACTTGGCAATGGTGTTCTTCAGTGCGTAGCAGCTGGATTCCCAGCCCCTACCATATACTGGTATTTTAGCCCAGGAACTGAGCAGAGGTGAGTTAAGTAAACAGGAGTCTCCAAAGGTGCAACACACTCAATTTCTAATTAAAAATTAGGAACATAAAATGACTTGGTAATAGTTATGTTCAAACGTTGCATCACTGTTTTCATCATTCTTTGTATCACATTGTTTGCAATGGTTTGTGAGAAGGCAGGGATACATTTCATTTTCCTCCTTTCCATTCTGTCCTTGAAAGGAGAATAACCAACACTTTCTGCTGCATAAAAGGCAAACTTTCTGCTGCAAGCTAGCTATGGTTTGTATCAGTTTGGCCTCAAATGACACATGTTCTCTATGCAATTTCACTGAATGCCAGTCATGGAATCACTTGTGAATAAGGTTGTTATAATTTGTTTTATCGTGTAATGAAGTAATTTTTCAAGACATAATGTAATTAGATTTCCATTCACATGAAACATATGACAAGTATACAAGTCCAGAGTTGTTATGAATAAAACCTGATATTTAGTCATTGCATTTTTAAAAAGATTGTAGAGTTTCACTGTGAAGTGAGCATTTGTGAAGCAAGTTTTAAGGTTCTGGTTTACTTCCACCATAGCTGTAGGTCTCATACTAGCAAGTCATGGGTCTCCCTCCTACCTGTGTAATTTGTTTTATGTCTGAAATAATTGTTATTTCATTAATTGTTTTAAACAGTACCCTTTTAAAAATCTTAAATGTGTGCTCATGTATCAATGTGTGCTTCATTTATCAATACATGATATATGAAGGAGAAGCAGCATCTTAAAAGAAAAGAGCTGGCTAATTTTTGACTGCATATAAGCTTGATGGTGTTTTATGTACATCATGGACTTTTTTTTTTTTCTGTAATAAGATGATGCTTGGGGAAAGTTTTCAGGAATAGGTAATAGACCATAACTGCTTGAAGCTGAAGTTGGAGGTGCAGGTTGAATGGTATAAAACCCATAGTGAAGTTTCAGACCTATAGGTATTTCTAACCAAAAGCAAATGCAAAGACATCATGGTCTCCAGCTGGGTCAGGCTGGGTTTATGTATCAATTTCTCCCACTGCAATAAAGACAGTGTGACATCATGAGTAGGCTGTTTGGAGGATAAGAGCTTCAGATGAATCCCTTTTTAGAGCAGTGTTGTTTAGTTACCTGTTGGTCTGGCATTCCAGATAGCAATCCATGGCAGGTAACTGTCAGTATTGTTTCTCCCAGGTGTTTTGATTCACCGACAATATCTCCCATGCTTATCAAAAGTGGTTACACAAATTCATCAGTGCCATCATTTGAACGAATCCGGGTTGAAAGCACAATTAACACCAGCATGTTCAGGAGCACCGGCACTGTGTGCTGCGAGGCCTCCAGCAATGGGGACAGGAGCTCTGCTTTCTTCAACTTTGCTATTAAAGGTAATGACTGGAGTGATTGAGACCATAAAACAAGGGTGTCCTGCAGCTCTTTCTGTAAAAGGATTTTAAGTGGTTTACCTTTACCATAAGAAAGTTGACGGTACTGTGGCCGAGTGTATGATAGCACACTATGTTACATGCTCTGGCTGTCAAAACATTGCTTTAATTTTTCAATTAATATTGTGGTACCATCCTTTTATGGCTCCAGATCTGCAGTGCAGTAGGTAGCTGGTTTTATTCTGTCTGTGCAACACAGGGGCAAACCACATACAGCATTACCCTGTCTTTCCTTCTCTCTCTCCCTTTTCTTGTCATTGTCTGTTTTGACTATTTAGGCCATCACTTTTTTTTTTTTTTCAAGGAAAGATTGCATTTTATTTTAGGTTTTTACAATGTCTCGGGAAAATGCAGTCCCAAACTTACCTGGAGCTCAAGGGTCCTGCTGTTGTAAAAGAAGTAACAACAACATACTGCAAAAAGGCTTATGAGTTTTTTTAGCAGTATTTGTGGGTTTGTGGGGGAAAGCACTCGAACCTAGATGATTTGAAATGTGTGTGTAAAACTGTACTCTTCTTTGTGAAACCAAATGTTCTGCTTCGTTTTTACTCTCTTACACCCAGATACAACATACAAACAAAAACGCCAGATTTGGGGCAGATGGGTTGTACTGGAATGGTATTCCTTCGCTACTCGGCACAACCTCTACTTGTAAAGACTGTGCTGTAGAAATTACACTTGCGGGGGAGGGCGCAGGGGAAGAGAAGAAATGAGGACTTCAGAAAAAAAACTTCTCTCTTTAACTTAATTTGACTGAGATCATGCAGACCCCTTGCATTAACTGATCTTGGTGTCACACCTCCTGAATTGATGAAGCTGAGACTCCCAAGGCATCAGACTGGATGGTTTCTGTGCCAACTCCGTCTCCCACAGCTCATTCAGAAAAGACATTCTGATATACCTGAAACACATCTGGGAAAGTCAAAACCCTAAACTGTGTTTCACAAAAAAGAACTAAGGAAAGGTTTTCACCTGTATCTTTTTAATATAGTTTTTCTTGTTCAGTATTTAAGCAGAATTTTGTGTTTCTTTCCAGAGAAAATCCGTACCCATACCCTTTTTACCCCTTTACTAACTGCATTTGGAGTCGCTGCAGGACTGATGTGTATCATAGTCATGATCCTGGTGTATGTATATTTGCAGGTAAATTCTGAAGCCCTTCTACCTGAGTTAGAAAAGTGTGTGAGCTGCCTGTGGAGGCTTCTGTAGTGACAGCCAATCTCTTTCTTTTCCAGAAACCCAAGTACGAAGTTCAGTGGAAAGTTGTTGAGGAAATAAATGGAAACAACTATGTTTACATAGACCCAACACAACTTCCTTACGATCACAAGTGGGAATTTCCAAGAAACCGTTTGAGTTTTGGTTAGTTTAGGTTTATTTAACTTCATCTGCAAGGTGAAATCTTCAGGTCTCATAGGAGACTTTGGTCAAACACAGCAGGGTTTTGTCAAAAAGATGTTGTGCAATAATGCAGATAGTGATAATTGCTCATTCTTACCTTGGGACAAAAAGCAAGCAGGCGCGTCTGCAATAGCTTCTTTATATCAAAAAATAAAATGTCGAGCCTTCAGGAGGAAGTACTCCAAGTCATTACAGAGTATTTTGTTTGCTTTATTAGGTAAAACCCTTGGTGCTGGAGCTTTTGGAAAAGTTGTTGAAGCCACTGCTTATGGTTTATTTAAATCTGATGCTGCTATGACAGTAGCAGTAAAGATGTTGAAAAGTAAGTTACTGTAGTATACTCACCAATTTTTTCTCTCTTCTATCTGGTCGGTGTGTTATGTACTGAACATTGTGCTTTGCCTTGCAGCAAGTGCCCATTTAACAGAAAGAGAAGCCTTGATGTCAGAGCTTAAAGTGCTGAGTTACCTTGGAAACCACATTAATATTGTGAATCTACTTGGAGCTTGCACTATTGGAGGTGGGGTTATCAACACATTATTGATTATTTCTGTTCCTTTTTTATTGCCTGGAGGATGAACCTTGTGAAGAAGAATCCAAGGTGCTGCTATAAGTGTAGAAATCTTAAATACATTCCATGCTTAGACAGGTTGCAGATCATCATGACTATCACCTGTAATTTAGTGAATCCAGATTTTAGCTTCATCCTAAAACCAGTAGTAAGAGCGCTGTAGTTGCAGCTAAACAAGAAGGTTGCTTTTATTCTCTTTCATATGAACCATTGTGTGCTTTCTTCTTGAGATATGACAAAGTGTACAGTATAAATTTTTTCTCTCACATGCTCTTTCTCATTAGTGAGAACTGGTGTCTTGTTGGTATCCAAGCTGAAGTCAACAGGCCTCTCTTGTATAGTCTTCCAGTCTTCTGTTTAATCTGCAAATGTGTCTGCTAAGGCACCACTAAAGTTACAAATTCTAAGCAGCAGAAAGTTGAGAAAAATAATTTTCCGAATAAAATATTGCACAACAATGTTTCACGTTTGGTTTCATACATAATAAAAGCTAGAAAACATCTGAAGTGTTAATACAGAATGATAGAGACCTGTACTTTTAATAGCTGTGCATTTTAATATGAAAGATGGTGTTGCTTCTTATTCAAATATATGTTCTTTAAGTTTCTGCTTAATTTTTCAAAGAAAAGGAGCTTGTAAAAATTCAGTTTTAGACAAAGGCAAAACATTTCTCACATTTAACGATTTAAAAATAGAATGAAACAATTTTGTTCAAGCAGTCAACAAAGTAGACTCACTGGCCTAAGTGTATGTGTCTCAGCTGAAAAAATGTGGTGTCTGTAAGAAAATCCTGCCAGTAACACTGTTTTTGCTATTGTGAAAGCTATAGTTTTTAACTGCAAAAGAATGGAAATAAACTAGTGAGGTTAGGAAACAATGGCACAGAATAAACTTAGAGATGAAATAACACATAGTGCAATTGCATATTCAAGATCCATAGCTGGAATCATTCACTCAGAAGACACATATTTGATCTATAAACATCCGTGCTGAAGATGACTTGATTCTCTTTTCTGATTTCATTTTAATATTCTAAGACCTTGTGCAATGTAGTTCTCTGTCGCAGCGGGCTGTTCTGTTTGAATGATTTTTCCTATTATACTGCAGAATATAACACTCTACATCATTTCCAAAACATTACTGAAGGAGTGTGAAGCTCTACTGTAAACACAAGTGAATCAAAAGGATTAATGTTTGAAGCTTGAATTACTCTTAACGTTTGGAACAAATAACTTCCTTCAGGAAGTGAGCAAAATCAAACAGATGTGTCTGGCCAGAAACATTATCACACAAAGAAAGAGAAAAAGACTTATTTGTTTAATTTTTGTACAGTGTAACGCTATTGAGGGGCAGAAAATTAATTGGGACACAGCTTTAGCTGGACCATAGTTGTTCATTTGTGAAAGGGAAGATGCTGGGTTACATTTCTATAACTTTTCAAGTCTAGACAGTGCTAGGCAGTGTGATTTTTTTTTTAATAGTCCAGCCTGTGTGCTTCACTGAATGCTATCTTTATGTAGGGTTTACTGCTTTGAAAACAATATTCACCAGCTTTATAAACCTTACATGCATCTACAGGTCCCACTCTGGTCATTACAGAATATTGCTGCTATGGTGATCTTTTAAATTTTCTTAGACGGAAGCGAGATTCATTTATTTGCCCAAAACATGAAGAACATGCAGATACAGCAGTTTATGAGAACCTTTTGCATCAGGCAGAGCCTGCAGCGTAAGTATGACCTGCTGAAATGTACTTGTGTTTTTAGAAGATTGGGAAGGAGGAGATATCAAAGTTTGTTAGAGATAAGAAGTGTGGAGAAACCTTTCATGAAACAGGCTTTGAATATTCTTTGCTGCACAAGGAAGCAATTCAATTAAGAGATAATTTGTACAGCGGGTGGTTTATTCTAACAGAGTGCAATGGATTGTATACACTCTATGTTTTACTTCTTTATCAAATTTTCTGCAGTTATTTTATGCACTTCCTTGGTTCCAATCTTCGTATGTATTTGTGTTTGCTGTTCCCATTTAACACTGCCAGTGCTCATTTAGCAGCATGAATTACAATTCCTCCAGTGTTGGGATGTTAGTACTCTGAGCTCTACCAAGTTTCTGCCTTCAGAAATTGCTTTTACAAAATCAAACCAGTGCCTTACAGTGTCTGAGGCAGGCTACTACTGACAGCTCACTACATTTTGTGATGAAACAACCCGTTATCACAATTCTGAGATTGCTCTTGTAGTTTTTTTTTTCTTCCAGTTACTTCATCTGTATATTTTTAACTGCTGCATTTTAGATGCAACATCCCAGGGTTGTTCCAAGTGCGTTTCCAAGCAGACTTCCTTCCCTTTGCAAAGTGAGGGAGAAATAACTTACCAAAACCTAGGGTCTGTTACAATACCTGCCCATTCTTAGTCTATTTATTGCCACAGTGGGCCCATTACTTTGTTGGCAGACACAAAAGAACCAGGCAGAGCCATAGGACATGGTAAAGTCCTTTTTCCCAGTAACTTAGTACTGTTTGTGCCATGGCAATAGACGGATAGCTGGGGATGCCCCATAGGGGTTGAGTCCCCAGAGGTGATGAACACAAAACTGTGATTTGCCATTGGAGGTGTGCCCTCTTCAGTGAAGGAATCTCACTGTTTGAGCACATTTTATAAATTGAGTTATTAACAGCAGATTATTTACCAAATTCTCATATTTGTATTTACTGTAAAGTTGTACCTGCTGAATAGTGTATCATAGATGTTTCTGATGGTAACTAAAACTTTCCATGTTAGCTCTCTGGATGCATTTATTGGATATAAACTAAACACATATGTCAGGCTAAGGAAGTATATGAGTTCTAGTGACAATGAAGTGAAAAATGCCAAAGTACATCCATCATTTCTAAAGGTGCCTAACTACTTATTTATAAATCATATAGTATGAAAATCTGTACATTCGAATTATACAGGGCAATAAGAAAATTTAGACTTAAAAGAATGTAGTAGATGGCTATCCCAAGCCTCAACTGATTTTTTGAAATACATATGAATCCCCTATGGAACTTGGGAATCTCTGCATTTAACATTTTTTACTGTTTTTATTCCGCATTTCAATTGCCAATTGAACTGCTGAAATATTTGGTAGAAGTTGGCCTAAACAGAAGAAGGAAGCATTAGCAGATCCTGTGAAACATCTGGATGTTATTTTATAGAGAGTGAAATCTGTATAAACAGTATTCATGTGAAAGGTTTTGTTTGCTCACCTGAGCCAAACTCCAAACTTTGAGATGTATCATTAACTGTATTGTCAAACCTCTCTTTCTGTACAGGCATTTCCTCATCTTTTTCACCCATCCATCCATTAGTTTCCAATCTACTGATGATTTGTAAAGCAGTATATTCAGAAGGTTGGCGTGACCTTGGCTTTTTGTTTGGATGGCTGTTGAGACCTTTTTCATTAAACTATGTTTCATTTGATCTGCTGCCTCTACAGTGATGCTGCCAATGAGTACATGGACATGAAACCAGGAGTGTCATATGCAGTCCCACCAAAGGCTGATAAAAAACGACCTGTGAAGTCCGGTGAGTTCAGTGACAAGGAATTCTGTTTGCTGGTGGGAGTGCAGAAAGAGGGGCTTCAGAGATTTTTTTCAGGTTTATCATACTTGTGTCTCATGAATGGGGACAATTAAAACTCAGTAATTGGTATGAGAAGGTTTGAAAAAGAACAATATGCTAAATTACAGTGTGTTGTATTTCTCCACACTTAAATGGAGTATCAGGATTGTTTTTTGCATTTTGGTGATGGGCTATTTATGTGACTCTAGACTGGTACTTACTCAAATAACTGTTGTGTTTAACATTAACACAACTCATGTTTCTACATGATTGCACTTGCTCAACTCAAAAGCTGTTTTTGTTTATATTCCGTAGGATCCTACGCTGATCAGGATGTTACCCTTTCTATGCCGGAAGATGATGAACTTGCTCTAGATGTTGAAGATCTCCTAAGCTTTTCTTACCAGGTGGCAAAGGGCATGAGCTTCCTTGCCTCCAAAAATGTAAGTTAAGAATTTTTCAGAGCTGGACAGAACCAATATATTTTTTTATTTTTTTTAGCGTCACTTTCGGTGTTCCAATGTGATCCATGTGTTTAAATGCCAAATATTTCTATATTTTTTTCAACAAGCACTGCAAACTGGTACACTCTCTCTCTTACCTGAAGCTTACCTAAGGGTGGAGTTCCATACCGTGCTTATTGGCCAAAAGTGATGTTTTATATCCCATAAAACAGAATATAGGGTGCACAGTAGTCAATGTGAAGCAGTGCTATTGTATATCCACAGTTCAGGCTAGTAGAATCAGTGCAAAACTATCTATTTGCATGAGTTTTAAACAATGCTGCACCTGCTACTTCTCTCATATAGAATACTGCCATAAACAGGGGAGCTATCACATTATGTGCTTTTTTTGTAAGTATGGCTTAATTCACAGGAGATGTCTCGATGTTTAATTTTCTGGAAAGATAAAATCAGCTGAGAGACCCACAAAGAATCTTTTTAATCTTTTTTGGCTACACTGAGCATAATAGACATTTCTCTGGGTTTCTTAGGAGAGGTATTGTATAACAGAAAGGGATTTATAAAGAATAGAAGTCTTAAGTACAGCATAATTAGGATTTTCCAATGGTTATTCTCACATCGTATTGGAAAAATGCCATTTAACATGTAAACACTGTAACTAATGTAGGCGCAGAATACTACAGGTGCACCTTGGAAAAATACAACCCCAAATTTAGTCAATTCAAGGAAAGAAAGGTAATCCTGGAGTCCTGTGTTACTACTGGGAAATGCATCTCAGATTCTGCTGCAAGGAAAGTGCACAGTAAAACTTGCTTTTGCACTTGTTTTTTTCCTCCCACTGTTCCTTCTTCCAAACCAAACCATAAACTTCTCTTTAGTTTATTTTTCATCTATCAACAGGGTCAAAAGAGGCCTGACATGCAAACGTGTTATGTTACAGATTTTAATGGTGTTCACCATGCTTCTGCATCCTTCACTATTCAGAACATCTGGTGCTGAGCACACATATTCTGTATTTCTTCTTTTTTCCTATGAAGTAGCCCCAGGATTCACTATATATCATTCCCAGAAGACTTTTTCTTCATAGTCTTTCCATTTTCACAAACAGACACGGTGGTGTTGAGTAGCAAAGGCAATAATGAATGTAACGTCACCTCACTTCACCTTGAGATTGGGAAGTAATGTGCAGTATCGCTTTGGCAGTGCAGAATTGACAACGATATCAAGAATTAAGTTGCAGTGTGCTAACATGTTAGTCTGCTTGGTCCTCTTCAGTCGTGTATGTACATGCATTTAGCTCCAGCTAGGTAACACAGAGTAGCATGGGCTGATGGACAAGGTGCCTCAGATCGCCTCAAGTCCTCGAGGAAGGAGGGTCCAAGCAGACCAGCAGTGCAGAGTACCCAGCTGCACTTCTGCAATTTGCTTGCCTATCAAGGCTATGCAGGAGCTGGTGTAGGAGCTTATTCTGAGAGGGTAATTGCCTTAAGCACATGGTGCCTTAATCACAAGACAGGGCTTCCTCTGTTGGACAAAGTCTTTATTCAATGCAAACTGCACTGATTCTGGAGAAGCAAGGCAGAGTCATACTGGTGCTTGGCCATTTCATCGCCGTCCTGCTTCAGAGCAGTTACGTTCTCAGCCTTACATATGCAAAGTGCAGAATATGTTGCATAAGGAGCTGAACAAGAGTCCTCTGAGACAGTAGTTGTTATTAAAAATAGTTCCTTGTGTAAGCATGCTAAAGTGACTGCAGGTTGCTTATGCAATCTGCAGTTATTTTCTGAGCTTGATTTGTGTAACTCTTGATATTTTAAGTCATTTTTCATAGGGAATTCTGAAAGCTTTGTATTTCAAGGAAAAAAGAAAAATTGAACTATCTTCAGTTGTTTTTTAGATAGATGTCATCTGTGTACTATATGCCATTAGTAAAGCAGAAGCTTAATACTCTCCTTTCCAGACGGAGAAAGAAATCATTTTGTTAGAGAACCATGTCCATTCTCTAACAAACACACAGGGACTCCCCAGTTGCATACAAAAAAATACAGCTTCTGGGAAACTCAGGCAGTCTTCTGTAGCTGGAGTTATTAACACATGCCCACTTCTCAAGTGAAAACTGGAATATAAGCTAGCTAGGTCACAGAATGCATGACTGTCCACTGAAAGACATTGGAATGTGAAAATTTCCAATATTTTCAAATATTTAGGTCTGCTTATAAAGTTCTTCTAGGTATTTAGTAATTCAGGTTTTCCAAAGAAGTATTTCTGAAATGGAATTCAGTTTAATGTTTGTGTGCTTTGAAGTTGTTACCATAATTTTCCCTATTTTCAGCTTTGCAGGATTTTCCCCTCAACCACAATAGTTACTTAATAGACTATTGGAATTATTTTGGAAACAAACCACATTTTTCCCCTATTTCTTCTTTATTAGGAAGTAAGCCAATGATGATTTTGATAAAAAAGAGGGGAAAATACATTATATTTTAGCTGAAAATGTGGAACACTGAAAAATTCAAAGTGACTGCAAGTGGTCTTTTCTAAAATAAATGCATAGACAACCTCAACAACATGGATCAATGTCATGATCGTAAAGATACTACACCAGAATGTTTAATCATCTGAGTAAGCTTATTAGCACATGGCTTTCAGCTTGCCATAAAATGCATAATGCAGTAACTTATATAGCTAAATAAACATGTAACCAAGGAACAGTCATTTAAAGATATTATAAAATAGCTTTGTTTGTTTGTCTGTTTGTTTTTTTAGTGCATTCATAGGGATCTGGCCGCAAGAAATATTCTTCTAACTCATGGTCGAATTACAAAAATCTGTGATTTTGGCCTGGCAAGAGATATAAGGAATGACTCAAATTATGTGGTCAAAGGAAATGTAAGTATATATGATACTTTATCCACTTGTTTTAAGTTAAAGGAGTTCCTGTTATCTTGACAGACAAAGAAAAGTGTTTCTTAGTTAAATGGAAATCTGGATTTCCCAGTTGTGGCATATATCCGTGTTGGTCAGGAAGGTTAGGAGGGGCAATTTCTGACTTAATGTGCTGACAAAACCCTGGGTATATGCATGTTGTTATACTGGCAAACATGTACTGCTATCTGAATATATGTTGTAGTGGAAGAGATGTTTTTGCTGCACTAATATAATGTCTAATCTTTCTATTGTATTTGAATGTACTAAAAGTTACAGCTCTGTGAATAATTGCAAGTTTTGTCATAGGAATATTCTGGTAGCCCAATCCTAAATATAATTATTTGAAAACTTTTTCTCTGAGCATTGCTCTATTTGTCCATTACTGAGTATATTTTAAAAATATCTAAATAATCAGGGGTTTGCAGCCCATTCTTTTCTGTTAGAGATCACTCAGACAATAGAAAGTGAATTTTGAAGTGTGAATTTATTAATTAGGGCATAAATTAGGGAGGCAAAAAGACCTTAGTTTTCTCTGATTCCATACAGAGATCTTAACCTCATATGTGTAAATACATCTTTAACTTGTAGCTATAGTTCAATCTCTGTAACAGGATTGGAACAAGACACTATATTTTGATGAGAAAAGTTTAAAACTTCCCATGTAGAAGAGTACCAATCTCATGAGTACTGATGAAACCTCTAGAGGGGTACAAAGGCACTTTGAAGTGATGCAGATTACCTTGGCAGCACTTGAAGTCCTCTTTAAAGGGCTAGTGCAGTAAAAAGAATCCTACTGCAAAAGAAAGTTGAGCTTTTCTGTGGTTAAGCTGGAGAAGTGCGTATGAAGTGTAGGTGTTTTGCATCTCAAACTGATTTATGCTGCTTGGATTACTGTTCTTAGTCTGTGTCATATGGGTGCAGCCAGCTGCTACCTTCAGACTACGCATGCTTTCACTTGCACTGTTTCTCAAAGAAGAGAAGATCCAGCAAGGCAACTCTCCTCCTCAGCCCAGCTGAGGGCTCTGTGTTCAGCAGCTGGTCATTAGTTAGGGATGTGACAACAAAGGAACTGAAGCTTATGTGGCCTGGCTTTGGGCAAGCTGATAAAGAGAGAAAATCCCACACCTGAGCATCTATCACCGAAGGGGTGTGCCACATTCCACTTGAGTCAGTCCATGGCACCTCAGATGTTTGAGATATCTGCTCTTGTGCTGTCACCCAGCAGGCCTTTATGTCTCAGGCCCTTATTTTCATGTTGATTAAAGCCTCAAAGTGTCTCAACCATGTGAATCTCATCTATGTGCCTATCGCAGCTAGTCCACGAAAGCAGACTCGCATGTTTGATTGAAGAACCATGTCACAGTCATTTATATTATTTTCCTCCGACTTCCTGATACCCTTTATTAACTAGACAGAGGGAATCCAACAGTGTCCAAGAAATCAGAGTGCAAGCAACTACATTCGTTTGGTAGACCCACAGAAAGGTAGATCAGTAGTGATGCAGCACTTGGAGACTCTACATTGTTAAGATTTTCATTTTTGTTGAATATTTCTACTTCCTTATTTTACAAGCATTTAAAGCACATAAAAAGTAGAAAAGGTTAATTTTATCTTTTTAATTCTGTCTGCCTTATGTCCATTGTCTTAATTCATTCCCTTTTCCCTGGAAAGGCTCGTCTTCCTGTGAAGTGGATGGCACCCGAAAGTATTTTCAATTGCGTCTACACCTTTGAGAGTGACGTGTGGTCTTATGGGATATTGCTTTGGGAGCTCTTTTCTTTAGGTAAGCTCCTTGAAGATCTGTACTTCAGATCTATTTCATTTTGGGGTTTACTGGAGATGCAGAAATCATGTTGCTCATCTGCTTTCTCAACAGGAAGCAGCCCTTATCCAGGGATACCTGTGGACTCCAAGTTCTATAAAATGATCAAGGAGGGATACAGGATGTTTAGCCCTGAGTGTGCACCGCCTGAAATGTAAGCAAGCAACCAGCACCTCTAATCATCTAAACATCAGTAATGATGCATTCTTGCATTAAGGTTCATTGCACTGCCCCATTATCTTTTTTTTAAGTTCTTTTCATGTTTTAAGTAATTAATGTACTCTAACTAGCAGAATACATGCATGTGTTAGAAGCAATGAAATACACTCATGCCTTGTGCCATCTGATCACTTTTTCATGGCATCTGCTCTGTGTCAATAAATTACTGACAGATCACAGTACATAATTAAACATTTTTACTTCAGATAAATAAGTCAGTGAGATGTATCACCAGACTGTACAGCATCTGCATTTGTGCTGTACTTCCTGACAAGAAGGACTGGCAAGAGGACTGGCTACTGATCTTCTTTATTAGCTACCCCTAATTCACTGTTTTGTAAATGGATTGGCATTTAGCAAGGTGTCAAAGAAAACTGTGTCCAGAGCCTCCTATTAGTACTTAGTCTTCCCTTGTCACAAACACAGGTGTTAGCAACACCATTCCTGTTCTTAAAAGTTGTTTAAAGAAGATGGGACTGGGTCACACTTTTCTTTAAAATAATAATGGAGGCAGGATAAAAGCTCTAAGGACTTCCCCATGAGCAGTACTTAATTTCAGTATCTTTACAGGTATGATATAATGAAGAGCTGCTGGGATGCTGATCCTTTACAAAGACCCACATTTAAACAAATTGTACAGATGATAGAGCAGCAGCTTTCAGATAATGCCCCCCGGGTAAGTTATGGATCAAGCAGTTTCAAACAAGATGTTATACTAGAGCAGAGAGCCCAGGCACTTATTTCCAGTGTTATTTATGTAGCTTTGTACTGTCAGTTTGAGTTGTAGGAATGATATCTGGGCTACTCACTTCTGCTTAGCTGTGTTATTAGGCAGTAGTTGTCTAAGCCCACACCAAAAATGTACCAGCTGGAGGAGACTCTTTGTATGATTGATGTTTCTCACTCAAAATAGACCTGTCACAACAATTTTGATGTTACAACATGTAACTACATACATGTTGTATGTATGTACATACATTTGCAACATAAATTCTTTTATCCCGACCTATGAAAAATTCTATTAATCTGGGAAACAGAAATGAAGTATATTTAACTTTATTATAAATGTTTTCTGGATGAAAGGGTGGAGCTTTTGGTGCACCTCTGCATCTTCTCACTTGCTTCCCTTAGTTCTATTTATATGACCTTGGAGGTATGTTATGACAAACTGTATTTGCTGCTCTTTTGACCGTTCCTGAGTAAAAACCTATTCTGAGTGGCTTAACTGGACAAAACAGTCTAAAGAAAAATTGGAGGCACATGAAAAACTTGGATTTTCTCTCTCCATAACTTTGTGTGTTATTGGGGTTTGAAAAAGTATGTTTTAAAACCTGGTTTAAAAATAAAGCTTCTCCTTACCTTCTGGATGCCTTGTTTAGGCACAGAGTACATGGCTTCCTGACAATTTGAGAAAAGAGGAAACTGAAAGCTGCTGGTGTTCAATTGCATCCTGTAGCGTATTTTTGGCAGGTGCAGACATTACTAAAACAAAAGCAAGAATGTGAAGGAAGTATTAGTGAGGTTTCTGGGGGAGTTTAGTAATAACCTGAACTGTGTGTTTTCGAGCTCAGTTGAAATTTGGCGTGCAGTTTGAAGCTGTGGTGTTGTCGAGATTAAGATTCTTGTTTCTTTAAAAGAGCAGTTAAGCCCAAGACCTTTTGAAACTATTTTGATTTGAAATGCCTGAGCTGGAACCCTTCCATGACGGTGTGTAGTGTGGAAAGGCTAGGAAAGGAGAGCTCTCCAAGAACGCATGAAGGGAGCAGTCTGCAGAGTACTGACACCAGTCTTTGGCTTCTGCAGGTTTATGCCAACTTCTCAACCCCACCTTCCAGTCAAGGAAATGCTCCAGATCACTCAGTGAGGATTAACTCAGTGGGTAGCAGTGCTTCATCTACTCAGCCTCTCCTGGTACGTGAAGAAGTCTGAGTGGCTTCTCTAAAGAAGAGAAGCTCAGAGCTGTTTGTATTGTGCAGGGGGTGAGAGAGGAATGACTTCAATATTTTCTCTTACTTTTACTCACTACTACCACTGTGTAGCTGAAACATTGTTGTAATACTGTCCTTTACCATGTACTGTTACACATAAACCTAATCTGCTGAGCACGGTTACAGGCATCATTACAGTGTTAACTGAAGCTGTATATATTTTGCTGTGTTGTGTGTATTTGCAGTAGAGAGCCAGATGTGAAGGAAAAACCAACCAACAAAAGAATTCCTGAGCCAGGATATGGAATGAGATGAATGTAGATCAAACCAAAATTGCAGTGATCCTTCTCTGGATCTGTGCCTGGAATGCATACAGTCATTTTCTAGTTAATCTTGTTTTGCCGAATTTAAGAAATAAACAAATATGAAGTTAATGGCTTTGCAAACCCCTTTCCACATCCAGTCGAGCCCGAGAAGCTTTCCCTGGCAGGTATCATAGGTTGGAGGCCAGTGAGGGCACTGTATGTACCTGGGAAAGAGGGGTGAATGGACCAAGACCCTTCCAAAGCTGATCTGCACAGCTGGAAACCCTCCTGGGAGCTCTGGGGTTTGAACCAGAGGAGAAGGGAAAAAGAGTATGGATCTTCATCTTTATTTCCCACCTGCACTGTCAGCCTTGCAAACTAGTTGCAAGATTTCCACGGACATATGCACTACTTCCCACTGACGCATTCCCTGCCAGGATAAAGCTGCCCAGGATAAAACTCCACCATGGAGCCTGAACCATTCCTGTGCCCTCCTGTCTTGAGAGCCCAAGGGCTTTGATGTTTGTTTTGCTAACAGTAATGTCTAAAATGTTCACCAAAGATTAGTGGCCCTGCCAAATTGGTCAAAATAGAGGAGGAGGGCTGCTTCCAATAAACTGTGTGTTTGGAGGAGAGGCCGTTTAACGAGTCATCTTATCTAAGTCAGAGCAGAGCCAAAAATTTCTCTCCTGGGGGCCCTTTCTTTATCTTGTCCTGCTGAGGTGAATTCTTCCCGCAGGCAGTCTTGGATGGTGCTAACAGGAAAGGGCTATTTTCCCCACCCTGAGTTGTTTGATCTTTCCATGGTAGTCCAGAGAGGGTAATAAGGAAGAGTCTAACTGGGGAGTGCTGAATTTATAAATGGGATAAACAAAAGAATCCTTTCAGTTTTCCTTGACACACAGGAGGCTTTGGGATCAGCATCTGTTGAGCCTAGGGTTGGGCTCAAGTATTTTCTAACCCCTTTTATTCTCATCAGGAGCACTGCTAGTTCTTTTCTTCCTTTGTTTCTGACCCCTAGAAATATGTAATGGCATTGAGAGAAGCATTCATCAGAGGCAGAGTACTAGCTGAGTACCTATTTATTTACAATGCACTTAAGCACTCTGTAACTTTTACTTTACCAGGATTTTGGTTGAGTTTACATGCAATTCAAAGTATAACTAACTGCCCAAATACAAGGTAATTGTAAATACACACACTGGTGGTATATTTTGGGTTACATTGAATACCATGCTCCTCCTATGACTGTGCATTTGGTTTATTGTTACAGAAATCTGTCTTTAAGAGTTTAGTCAAAAATTAGCCATTTGCACTGAACTTAGGCTGTTGCACCTTTCCAAAGTTAGCCATTTGTTTGGATGCACTCTTGTGCATACTTGTTGAGCATTTTCAGTTTAATGCTATAAAAGCTCTTTTGTAACATGGCTTTCAGAGCAATTGTAGACAAAGTAGTTGTTATAGATGTCTCGGTACTTTACAGACACTTAGCTGAAAGAGGTTTGGTTTTTTTGGTTTTTTTTCGTTCTTGAAATTTATATTTTTATAATTTGGGGGTTTTTGAAACTTATTTTGCAATGGCTTGGTGTTTTGAGTGGGTTTATGCATTGTTTTTGTAAATATGGAAATGTAGCAATAATGTCCTTTTGACTATTCTCAGTCCTTGAGTCTCAAAAATATTTTTATATATATATATATATATATGCAAAAACTATATGTATAAAAATGTGTTTGAAAGTTTATGAAACACTTATGGATATGTTGCTCAGTTGTAGAATTGCAGTTCAGAAAAGTTCAAATAAATCTGTAAATACATATTCAAATGCTACTGATGTTTACCTATGTTAAGATGGACTATTTTCATGTAAGTCTTAATAAATTCTTGGGGTGAAGTAAAATCTCAGTGTCTGGCCACACACAGGTCAAGTTTGGCATTCTGAAACATTTTTGCAAATATATGCCAGACAACCTTAATGTAAGTTCTTTACCTGTGAATATATGGGACAAATACTTGGATGCAGCTTTATTCTGGAAAGAATTGCAATTAGAAGATTGATCCTGCCGTCTGTTGATGCAGTCTATGTGTCATGAACAGTATTTAAAACAAAGATATCTCAGTGTTATTAAGAGTTTGGTTGCAGAGGCAGTTGGAGGCACTCAAAGGCTGCAGTGATACTGAATATCCCCCCTTCCTTAAACACATGTACATGCTCTTGTCCCCTCCTGCACCCTGGCACTAAGCTCAGACTGGGCTGGCCGAGTGCAGCACTGCAGGGGAGGCAGCAGGAAATAACTGGTGCTGCTTCAGACCCCCCTTTGGAGGGGAGGTCATAAAGAGAAAATGAGATACTTCTCTTGCTGAGCAGGTACCTTGTGTCTTAGTGGGAGACCCCCTGCTTTAGTTACTCCAGGTTTGAAATCTGTGAGTGCCCTACTCACGCTTGTTCATGTGCTGCATAAGAGTTTTCATAGGCCTGGCTGGTGCATGGTTTAATAGTAGATATAGAGCATAAAAGCATAAGTTTCTAGATACCAAAACCCCTGCTATTTCACAGGAGAGACTAACCTCAGCTGTTTTGGTCCTTAAACATTTCTGTCAGCAGACCTCCTTGAAGAGCTCTCCTCCTTTAGTTTCCTTTGTTAAACAGCTTCCCTTTTTTTTTCTTCCACCTAGGTCTTCACTCTGTTTGTTAAAACTAGTTAAGGAAATTAAAACCTAATTTTGCCAGGAACCAGGAGGTGCAGGTTTTGTCCCAATTAGCACCGTCATTGTTTCTAGCAATGCTTCAGAAGATACCAAGATTGTGTCTGATTTGGACTCATTTTTTTTCCTGTCTTGTCCACCCCCCCATTCAAGCAGAGTTCAGTTCATACTGAGGGATTCCAGTAGCTGAATTGTACAAATAATCTGTGAGTTCTCATTTAGCATAGCCAAAGGAGCTATTTTATGTATTTATTTGGTTAGCGCATCATTAATTTTATTTTCCTGAAATGTTTCCCCTTCTGAAACACCCTAGGATATGGCATCTCTGCTTTCTGAAAGAATCTTACTCTATTTTCTTATTACAATATTCACAATGATTACTGCCTCTATCCCTGCTCATGATCACACAGCCCATTTCCCCCAAATTATTTTATTGTGCCATTCTAAGCAATAGCTTACATGGAAAAGCACATCAGGACAACATTTACTATGTATTTTATCTGTCCTTCAAAGCATTTTTGTGCCCAGATATAAAAAGCAACCAGCACCATGTTACTAGCATGGACCATCATGGATCAAGTATCCAAAGGAAAGGTTCAAAGAAGACTGATTCAGGCTCTTTCCTTTTTCAGTGACACTGAAATCATTGTCACTGATTTCAGTGCGCAGTTGACAGGACCAGAGGCTGTCGGCACAAATGGTTCCCTCTCAACATCAGTAAACACCTTTTTTTTTATTGTGAGGGTGACCAAGAACTAGAACAGATTGTCCCAGTGGTTATGGAGTCTCTATTCTTGGAGATACTAAAAAACCATGTGGAAATAGTCCTGGGCAATGGGCTCTAGGTGTCCCTGCTTGAGCAGGGGAGTTGGGCCAGATGACCTGGCTTACAACATCAACTCTTCTGTGATTTTGCAATCAGCTAGGGCCCTTTGGAGAATCTTGACTGTAACATGCACTTAGCCAGAAGTAGAAAAGAAAATCCTCCCCTTATGCTGTACACTAGGGAGTGACTTGTCTTTTATCCTCTTTACTAAGTAGAGAAGCAAATACCTATAGGTTCTGTGGGAGAAAAGAAAAAAGATCATGGAAACACTGCGGTATACGTGGAATTAGTGACCACTATCATATGCATCACCACCACCAGATTTCTTTGTTTCTGGTTCTTTTTCACATCTGTATGCCATATGGGCCTTTGGGGATGTAAATGGAGACATGATGTTCCTGGGCTAAGTCACCAGGGAATGACCAGTCACACCCTGGACAAAAATGTTCATAGTGATCACCAGAGAATTTGGACAACAGCATTGTTAATTCTACTGTATTGTAGGCTGAAACCAAGAGAGTGAAACGTTTTCATCTTCCTGAACATGGATTGGGAAACTTCCTACTTGTCCTGTGGGGATGTCTAAGTCTCAACACAGGAGAAGGAGCAGTTGCATAGACTTTAGCCTCTGGTTTAGAGCTAAAGTTGTAATAAAAATGTGATAACCTACTCTGCAGTTCAGTTGTGGTTTCCAGAAACTTCTGTAACTGTGAGTAATGGTTACAGATGACTTTCAATTGCTGTGTTTCCTGAGCACTAATTTCTTAAAAGATTATGCTATAACTAGTAATTTTGTGTCCAAAAGTTGCTCTGAGGCTATGTTTTCTGAAAGATTGTCGATATTTCATAAATTGATTATTGGTCATTCTTCTTGGTAAGAATTATTATCTGTCAGCTGCCAACCAGGCAGCAGAGATTATTTACTAGTAGTGATAGGTCCAGTCATTTAATTTTTCTGTTCATGTTCTGGAAATCATTTTAGCTGGGTTGTGACAGGCAGTAGAAACCAGCAGACCCCAAAGAGCCTGCTGAGCTTTAAGGATGCACTCCTTGCTAAGCAATGTCACAATATCAGATAAGGGGTTTGTGTGGCAGGTTTAACACTATCCAACCATCAGGTCGCCACAGCATGTAGCTTTCCTTATAGATCAGTACTCATCAGTGTGTAGTACAAATTACCCCTCTTTTAACAATGAAAACAAATGTTTGTAGAGCATGTTTGTCAGAATACTTGGAACTATATTGATGAAATTAATTAAGTAGGATAAAATCAAATCACTTCACTACAATTAGTCATCTAATTTTTGAAGGTTTATTCTTTTCTTTTAGAGCTTCTGGCATTTTGGGGCATGGAAAAAAATATAAAAATATGAGCAGTACTGGTAACCCTCCCTCCTCCATGAAATATCAAAAACCCAAGGTTTATGAT